TTAAGACTCTAGATTATTCTACTTCAGTTGCTTACCTGACTATATAATCCCTCGTACAGCTCTCATTATAGATAACTATTACACAAAACACTGCACGAGTCTTCTACTTAATGACTAGTCAGATCCCAGAAGAATGTCTCTGCCCTTTCTCTCTAAGAGAATGGGATTTACTCACCCACCTTACCTTTGCAGAAATCCCACAGAATTTATCCCTCCATCAAGAGTGTACCATTCTTCAGCAGCGATGGCTTTATCCTAGGAACTTGCTCAGACCTCTCTGCCCTATCACTAGCCCAGAAGATTTACACCACTCACCAGCTTTTCTAAGATATTTGATAAGTTGTGGGGTGCCTGGGTGGCTCAGTGGGTTAAGCCTCTGCCTTTGGTTCAGGTCATGATCTCAGGGTCCTGGGATCAAGCCCCGCATGGGGCTCTCTGCTCAGCAGGGAGCCTGCTTCCCCCCCCCAACCCCGGCCTGCCTCTCTGCCTACTTGTGATCTCTTTCTCTTTGTCAAATAAATAAATAAAATCATTTAAAAAATAAAATATTTGATAAAGTACTAACAGAAAATCCAAGCTACAGAAGTTGAGGGTTTGCTTCTTGATATGTCTCCCCTACCTCCAGTCCAAGCTGGAAGACTGCCCCCTTCTTTTCAAGCTACTATGGTAATAGAGTTAATAAACCCTTTAGTTTCTCATCTCCAACAACCTTTCTCTATTCAGATACACCCTTGTTGAAACTTCTAGCTCACAAACCAGTATCCAGCTCCCATAAGAGTGAAAAAGAGCAGGTGCTTGAGAAACTGCCAGCCTTCCTCTGAGTCCTGGGCCATCTCTAATACTTGGAGCAGTAGGAAGACCATGTGACCCAAAGACAGGATCTGGTTGCTTGCACAGCTGGGTATACAAGAGGCGAACTTAGGTCCCACTCCATACAGGTGTCCAAGCTGAGGGCTGGTGTCTCCTTTATTCCTGGCCCTGTAAGCCATAACAGCAAACTACTACATGCATCCACACGCTGGTTCACAAAGACAGTCACCAAATATTGTCAGTGTCTACAAGCCTGGGAAAAGCAAAAATGTATTTCCTATCGATTTCATAAAAATGGTCAGAGTCCTGGCAGCCACAGACGTCACGCTTTATTTACAAGGTGAGAAGAGGGCTTCGGGGAGCCAAAAAGAGATCATGAAGTGTCCTGGGGCTAGTAATAGCTGGGAGGGGGTCCCACATCATGGCTGAGAGGCTAGGGAAAGGTGTGATTGTCAGGATCTGCACGGGTTAGCTGGGAAGAGGGCTGCTCAGGAAAGAACCTGTCTGAAGTCACACACCATTGGAGAGATAGGCACAAAGCCTGGCTAGGTTGAGGCAGAGCGAGCTGTTCTAATCTTTGGACCGTGAAATGTGCACAGCACAAATAACCACCTCTGAGTGTTTATCAAATAAAACCTGCCCCTAGGGTTTTAAAGCTGCCATGGTCCATGAAATCTGGTTTCTTTTTCCTCCTGATTTAAATCCCATAGGGATGTCATGTACCCTTTATCAGAGATGAGATCCAAGCCCAAAATTAATCCAGGAGGGATAAAGAATACTGAAACCAGTGAGCTACAGAAGTTGGCAAAGGCCTTCATAAAGATTGGTGAAGTTGAACTAGAGTCTTAAAAACACAAAATCAGTCAACGATAGAATGATAAAATTAGAAGGAACCTGGGGCAATCATCTACTTGGGAGTATAAACTCTCACTTTTTTAATCCTAACTATGATACTATTTTTAATGAAGCATTTTCACATGGGTTCACACAAAAATGAGATTTCATAAGTATATACTACAAAACAACTATGGTAATCATGTATATGGCAATAGCAACGTAAGCTCTGAATTCCACCCTGTGTATCAGGATGGCTCATCTGTTCCATTATTTTAATTTATTCAAGATACTGTTAATCTTTCTTTGGTACAATACCCGGTGCTGTCCTTTAGGCTTATCTTGACATTGATAATTCTCCTATAAAACAGTTATTCCAGATCATCCAGTGTACTCTTTTTTTTTTTTTCAAGATTTTATCTATTTGAGAGAGGGAGAGAGAATGAGCCAGAGAGGGGGGCAGAGAGAGAGGGAGAAGGACTCCTCACTGAGCAGGAAGCCCCATGTGGGGCCCGATCCCAGGACCCTGAGACTATGACCTGAGCCTACCCTTAACCGACTGAGCCCCCAAAGTGCGCCCAGTATACTCTTATTTGAAAATTTGTAATTTGTGTCTGATGATTTAAGTTTGGGAGACACTGCCTTGGCAGTTTCAAAGGTGCCAGTTCTTAGCAAATACTGGGTCTCAGTGAAGCTAAGTGACTGTCATCAATGCTAGAAACATAAATAGCAGATTTCTCATTATATAGTGTAAAAATTATGAACTTTTTTACTTCTTTGTGGGCAGGTCAAAATTTATTATACCATTGTGTACACAGGTACACATATCTGTGTGTTCACTTGCTCTGAGTTCTGGGACGAGAAGGTAGTTACTCATAATATAATTCAAGTTTGTTGGTTCCTTTGACTCCAGCTTTGGCATTGGTTCCAACAATGTTCATTTCCTCTTTCATAATTAGGCGATGAGGGGCGCTTGGGTGGCTCAGTCGATTAAGTGTCTGTTTTCGGCTCAGGTCATGATCCCAGATTTCAGGGTTGGAGCCCCGCATTGGGCTCCCTACTCCACAGGAAGCCTGCTTCTCCCTCTCCCACTCCCCCTGCTTGTGTTCCCTCTCTCGCTCTCTCTCTGTCTCTGTCAAATAAATAACAAAATCTTATTTAAAAAAATTAGCCAATGAGCAGGGCTGTCCGAGCAGACAGAAATGGTTCTGTCTCAGAAAACTAACTTTATACATTAAAGTGAAGAATATATCTTTCATGATAAAGGATCAAATGTTTAGGGGCGCCTGGGTGGCTCAGTGGGTTAAAGCCTCTGCTTTCGGCTCAGGTCATGGTCCCAGGATCCTGGGATGGAGCCCAGCATCAGGCTCTCTGCTCAGCAGGGAGCCTGCTTCCTCCTCTCTCTCTGGCTGCCTCTCTGCCTGCTTGTGATCTCTGTCTATCAAATAAATAAATAAAATCTTTAAAAAAAAAAAAAGGATCAAATGTTTAAAAATATGAGATCAAAAAGTCAGTCACCATCAGGGCACTGATCCCAGGTACCAAGAAAGGATATACTGTTATATTAACTAGCAGAACAATTGTCCACAGCTTGCTTCCTCCGGGGGATATCTTAGAATTGTAAAATCTGGAGGGTAATAGATCTGACATGTAAAAAGAGTTGTAAGAAATGCTCTTTTTGTCACAAATAACTGCTTCCTCTTTGGTGAGGCAGTAGAGTGGCGTGCAAGGACCTTAAAATGTGGAGGCAGAATCACTTAAAACTTAGAAGCTATGTGACCTTGGTCAAATCATTTGACCCTTCTGTGCTTGTTTTCTTAATTATAAAGTAAGAATAAGAACAGTACTTACTTGATGGATAGTTGCTAAGATTAAGTGGGCCCACATATATGAGCAATTTATACCAGTACCTGCTACAGGATGAGCACCTTTTTGTGTTTTTTTAAGATTTTATTTATTTTTTTTGTCAAAGAGAGAGCACAGTGCACAAGCAGGGGAAGTGGCAGACAGAGGGAACCTCAGGTGCCCTGCTGAGCAAGAAGCCTGAGGAGGGACTCAATCCAAGGACCCCGGGATCATGACCTGAGCCAAAAGCAGGCGCTTAACTGGCTGAGGCACCCCATACACGATGAGTATCTCACATAACTGCTGTTTTTATTACTTTCCCCATTCAACCCAGTACTTGTGATCAAGCACATACAAAATTTGTTTCCCTGATTTGTTTACAAGTCTGCTTCTATAATCATACTGAACCTATAGGTTTCCCAAGCAACCATGGTCTCGTTGAGGGTGGGGGGAAGGCACTTAATCTATAACTTTAAAACTCAGGGAGGCAAAAGTCAGGATTGGAGACACAGTTGTAGAATAATGAATAAGAACAGCTTTCATTTATTGAGTGCTCATTGTATTCCCGGCTGTTCTTTTTTTTTTTTTTTTTTTTTTTTTTTTCCCGGCTGTTCTAAATGTGCTTTCCATGTTCATCTCATTTGATTCTCCTAACAACCCTACAATATAAGAACTCTACTATCCCTCATTTAGAAGATGAAACTGGAGCAAACAGGTAACTTGTCCCAAGTCACACAGCAGGAAGCAATAGAGTTAGAACTGGAGATTCCAGTTTGTTCTCTTAACTCTCAGACATCATATTGTCATATAATATTTATATATTGTAGGTTGGGCCGATATTCAGCCAACATCACAGTGCAACCAGACTAGTTGTCTGATTGGCTGGAGCCCTGTTCTGACTTAGTTGGTGCTTGGGTGATACCAACTATTACTCTATTATGACTATCACTTCCGATTACAGGTGGTCGTTAAAGCCGTGGAGATGGAGGAGATCTTTTGAGAAGTGTGTTTTTATAGTAAAAGAAAACTAGCATTTGAGCACCAGGAAAGCAAAGGTGGGATCCGTTTTGGTCACTGATAATTTTCCAAAATTGATTTTACTCAGTCTCTGTAAATATGTAAAGGAAGATAAAGACCGAAGAGAGTCTATCTGTCCTTAGCATAGGTTTTCCAAAGGAGTTGAAGAGCAAAAGATAAGTAAATAAAATAATGTGTATACACTATTATTTTAAGAAATGTGGCTGGGAAGAAATGGACACAGGGCAGTACCACATTATTGGAGAAGAGAGGAAATGTTGCCTTTTCTACCGGACATTTACGGCCTTGTTAATGACATTCTGAAAATTCTAACAGACCCTTCAGAATTCCACAAAATTATTCCAGAGCTCATCTACTAAAAGAAATATGGAAAATAAATAAATAAAAATAAAAGAAACATGTGAGAACACCAAGAAAAATTCTGAAACTTGTTAAGAACACCAAGAAAACAGCAAGAAAATAACGGGGCTTACCTCTTAGTTACTTGACCTCCTCCTTGATTCTACCTTCCTTCTCAAACTCAAGCACAGACTCCCTTGGTCACACCCTCAGCAATGTTATCCATTGTAGCCATTTGGCTTTCAGAATAGCTAACCCATCCTGTTTCTGACCATAACAGACTATTCTTCAAGCTCCATTGTTGAAATACACCCACGAGACCTGTTTCATGATCTAATCAAGATTTCCAGCTGGTTGACCTTTCTGACTTTGCCCAACCTACCAGTCCTCTTCTTCATTTTCTTATTCAGCTCAGACTTGGACTCATCTGAAGCTTTTTTGCCCCTCACTCTATTGCTTTCATCTGCTAAAACCCCAACTGCCGTCTCCATGCCTGCACCTTAGCTCAGTGTGACTGGAGAATGCCACACAAAAGGGAGATTAAAGACTATAAATTTAAGACCACCATCCCAGATGGGCCCTTATGACTGCAGAGCATAGTGAGTCTACTCAATTTTTCCTGGGGACTCTCTCCCCTTACCTTGGGTGGGAGGAGGTGAAGATGAGAGAAATATACTCTGATAGAGGTAAAAGTCTTAAGAAACATTGTCAAAGAAAGTAAAATAATTGAGTACCAAGTCTGATACTCTTCACTCAAGGGAAATTCATCCAGGGACTGTGGGAGTCCAATGCCTCACAAACAATGGAGGGCTCTTCCCCAGGGATGTTTGGCCAAAATTGAGTATTATAATGATATTCTGAAATGTCATTAGAAGCCTCAGCTTGGAAACTTGGCATGATTCGCTAGGATGTAGGGATTTCCTTATAAGGCTAGCAGACCCTGTTTTCTAGGGTAAGGGGAGCTAAGCCGAGTGTGTATGTGTGTGTGTGTATGTGTGTGTGTGTGTGAAGAAGGGTTGTGATTAGTGTGATGCTTCTTTAACCATGAAGCATTTCTCATAAGTACGGACTGATTTAGGTTTCAACTAGTTTTGTGCCATGGACTGGCCACCATTTTGTGGGTCCCTAAATGAGGTTCTGGACTCAATTCCAATATAGGAGGGAGGTTACCCCCAAAGCTTAGGACACCAACTGGTGTCCACTCGATTCTGACACTATCTACTGGGAGATAGCATCAGTTTGCACAGAATGAAGGCTCAGTCCCACAAGATTGTTGCGCAACCCCCCCCATCCCTGACTTCATACCCCAATGGCAGGTTGATTACCTTTGTTTTGACTGATCGGCTACAAGCAGGGAGTTTCCAACAACTCCCTGCAAAAGGATACCAATCACAAGTCCAGGCTGTCACCTGTGCTCCTGACCAGCTGGCTATAAATCAGGGTCTCCCTCAACCCTCTCCTAGGATTTGATTAATTTGCTAGAGGGGCTCACAGAACTCAGAGAAACATTTTACTTACTAGAGTGCCAGCTTCTTATAAAAGGATGTAACTCAGAGACAACCAGATGGAAGAGGCACAATAAGCAAGGTGTGGGGAAATGAGGGGAGCTTCCACACCTTCTTCAAGTGCAGTGCTCTCCCCAAATCTCCACCTGTTCACCATCCCTGAAGCTCTTCAAACCCTGTCCTTTTGGCTTTTTAAAAAACGATGTCTCAGGGCGTCTGGGTGGCTCAGTGGGTTAAAGCCTCTGCCTTCGGCTCGGGTCATGATCCCAGGGTCCTGGGATCGAGCCCCGAGTTGGGCTCTCTGCTTGGCGGGGAGTCTGCTTCCCCGTCTCTCTCCCTCTGCCTGCCTCTCTGCCTACTTGTGGTCTCTGTCTGTCAAATAAATAAATAAAATCTTTAGCAAAACAAAACAAACAAAAAAACGATGTCTCAGGGCACGTAGGTGGCTCAGTGGGTTGGGCCTCTGCCTTCAGCTCGGGTCATGGTCTCAGGGTCCTGGGATGAGCCCCGCATCAGGCTCCCTGCTCAGCAGGAAGCCTGCTTCCCCCTCTTGCTGCCTGCCTCTCTGTCAAATAAATAAATAAAATCTTAAAAAAAAAAAAGCACCAAAAAAACGATGTCTCCTTGGGGCACCTGGGTGGCTCAGTCATTAAGCAACTCCTTGGGCTCAAGTTCTGATCTCAGGGTACTGGGATGGGATCCCACATCAGGCTCCCTGCTCAGTGGAATTCTGCTTCTCCCTCTCACACTCCCCCTGCTTGTGTTTCCTCTCTTACTGTCTCTCTCTCACTGTCAAATAAATAAAATCTTTTTTAAAAAAATGATGTCTCCAGTGCTTACGCAATGATGGATTAAATCATTGGCCATTGGAGATCCGTTTAACCTCCAGCCCCTCTCCCCTCTTGGAATTTGGAACTGAAAGTTCCAACCCTTTAATCACTTGGTCAGTTCCCTGGGCAAGCATCCCTCTTTGTTAAGTGACCCAAGGCATTCCAAAAGTTACTTAATTAACATACAAAAGACACTTTTATCATTCATCCCTCCAGCCCCTTAGGAAATTCCAAGGATTTTAGAAAGCCCTGTGCTATAAACATGGTTGAAGACCAAATAAGTATTTATTGCAATTCAAATTTTAATTCACAGTATCACAGTCCGGATATACAAATTACCTTTATCAGCGTGATATAGAAACTAGAGATTTATATATTTGACTGCAGAAAATTTTAACCTTTCTCCAAAGGGGAAAAACAAACACATCAAAAGACGGAAAAATACATATGACAGAAATGGATGTTTTCTCTAATGTACAAAGCTTGTTTACAAATATTAATGGAGGAGAGATGACAAAACCAACAGATAAATGGGCAAACGATAATAACAGACAATTCCCAGAGGGGCTGTTTCTCCATTACCCAGTGTTGGCAAGAATGTGGGAAAACTGGAAGTTCACTTTTTGTCTTAGATATGTTCTTTCTGGACCTCTTTGCCTTCTTGCCCCAAACTATGTAATTCCTTACTGAGTCTACTGTTATCCTGGGATCTCCCTTCACTATCACCCGGGAAAATTTTTTCTCCTTTCTTCTGTGCTTTAAACTTTTCTGAGCAGACAACATCAATACTGTCTTAAGAAAGAGTTGGATGTTGGGGCGCCTGGGTGGCTCAGTGGGTTCAAGCCTCTGCCTTGGCTCAGGTCATGATCCCAGGGTCCTGGGATAGAGCCCCGCTCAGTAGGGAGCCTTCTCCCCAACCACCCCCACACCCCCACACCCCCACCCCCGCCTCTCTGCCTGCTTGTGATCTCTGTCTGTCAAATAAATAAAATCTTTTAAAAAAAAGAAAAAAAAGAAAGAGTTGGGAGGTTTAACCAACTCAGTCACCCAGGTGCCCTGGGAATTTGAAATACTAGCAAAAAGTTGCAAATGTTTGATGAATAGCAGGTCTATTATAGGTGCTAAAGTGCTGTGGTCAAATTCTAAATCCCAAGCAAGAACCATCAGGTTAATCAATTCCCAAATTCCTGCCACAGAAACTGAGAGAAAGTTTGTCTTGACTAAGCCACTAGGTTTTGGGGTAATTTGTTATATAGCAATAGATAACTAATACAGTAGTATTTGTTAATACTAATACTACTAATACTAATAGAAATTTCCAACTTCAGTCTTCCCTTTCCTTAAGCTATATATTATCTTAATCATTTCCTTTTCCTTAAGCCATGATCATCAAAATTTTATAGAGAGTAAATTAAGGCCCAGATAAGTTAATGTACTTATTCAAGTTTACAGTGTTTAAGTGATGAGCTATGAACATTTTCAGGTTTTCTGACACACAGACAGTGTTCCTTGTATCCGCTCATGTTGACTTTAATAGTTTTTGAATTATTGATTTTTTTTTCCCTAATGAAATGATGACTAAAGACAGGAAGGTCCTCTATTAACCGCTACCCTAGGCACTGGGGATAAAAGGATGGGTGAGGCAGGTTAAGTGGCTTTTGGATAAAGTCGAACTGTGAGATGAAGGACTAGTACAGGGATAAATCTCATGAGAGTAGTGGATATGAAAAAGCTCAGATGCAAAATGTCAGAAAAAAAGGAATCTGAGTGAGTATTTGAGCAAGACAGAAATTTCAAGATTGAAAAAATTTATATTGACCTCAGAGATTAGTCAAGGGTCAAGCTAGACTTATTTTTCTTCGAGAAATATGGTGATCACAGGCATATCTTTATTTAATGTTATGTATTTATTTAGAGTTTTAGGTCTTTTTTATATTGTTCCATAACTTTATCACATAATTCTTATATTGCTCATCATTCACACTTTAATGACTTAACCATGCCAACTTCACAAATCATGAATTTAATATTCAAGTTAGCAAAACTCTTTTTTTTTTTTTAAGATTTTATTTGTTTATTTGACAGAGATCACAAGTAGGCAGAGAGGCAGGCAGAGAGAGAGGAGGAAGCAGGCTCCCTGCCGAGCAGAGAGCCCGATGTGGGGATCAATCCCAGGACCTTGGGATCATGACCCCAGCCGAAGACAGAGGCTTTAACCCACTGAGCCACCCAGGCACCCCAAAACTCTTATTTTTTTAAGATTTTATTTTTAAGTAATCTCTACACCCAACATGAGGGTTGCAGAGGGAAAGACTCTTAAGCAGACTCCAAGCTGAGTATGGAGCCCCAACTCAGGGCTGGATCTCACAACTCTGAAAAATAACCTGAGTTGAAATCATGAGTCAGACTCTTAACCACTGAGCCGACCAGGAGCCCCATAGTTAGCAAAAACACTGAAAGCAAGAATAAAATGACAAAAGGTAAGTGATTCAGGGTGTGGAAAAATATGTTTAATATGTAAGACAAGGCAGGGAGGCTGGCTGGCTAAGTCAGTAGAACATGTGACTCTTTATCTTGGAGCTATAAATTCAAGCCCCACATTGGGTGTAGAGATTACTTAAAAATAAACTCTTTAAAAGTGTGTGTGTGTGTGTGTGTGTGTGTGTGTGTATAACAGAACATATATATATGTATATATATATGTACATATATATATACATACGTATATATATATATATATATATATATATATATATATAACAGAACAACATTTAACATTAAACAGATACATTTAAACTTAGTTCTCAGGGCGACTGAGTAGCTCAGCGCCTAAGCATCCAGCTCTTGATTTTGGCTTAGGTCATGATCTCAGGGTTGTGAGATTGAGCCCCATGTTGGGCATGGAGCCTGCGTGAGATTCTCTCTTTCCCTTTCCCTTTTCCCCTCTAAAAAAAGGAAAGAAAAAAAAGGACAACCACCACCAACAAAAAAAAACTTAGCTCTTAGTTCCCTAAAAATCAAAAC